CAAAAAAAAAAGAAAGAAAAGAAAGAAAGAGAAAGAAAGGAAGAACGAACATGGCCAGGTTTTGTGTCTCAACCTGTCACCCCAGCACTTTGGGAGGCTGAGGTGAGTGGATTGCCTGAGCCTGAGGGTTCAAGACCAACCTGGGCACTTTGGCGAGACCTCATCTCTATGATAAATAAAAAATTAGCCGGGTGTGGTATCACGCGTCTGTATTTCTGGCTACTCGGAAGGCTGAGGCGGAAAGATCGCCAGAGCCCAGCAGGTGGATGCTGGGACGGCTGTGAGTGTGCCACTGCACTCCAGCCTGGGCGACGGAGTGAGATTCTGACTTAAAAAAAAAGAAAGAATATTAGAAAAAAATAGAGTTGAATTTTCCCTGCCAGGTTTCAGACCTGCCTGGGACCCATGACCCCTGCCTTCCTTCCAATTTCTCCCCCTTTTATTTTTTTTGAGTTGGGGGTCTGCCTCTGTCACCCAGGCTAGAGTGCAGTGGCGGGATTATAGCTCACCATAGCCTCGCCCTCCTGGGTTCAGGCGATCCTCCCGCCTCAGCCTCCCGAGTAGCTGGGACGACAGGCGCGTGCCACCATGCTCAGCTAATTTTTTATTTTGTATAGAGACCGGGTCTTGCTATGTTGCCCAGGCTGGTCTTGAACTCCAGGGCTCAATCAATCCTCCCGCCTTGGTCTACCCTAGTGTCTGGGTGGCAGGCGTGAGCCACTGCACCAGGTCCTCTTACAAACAACCTCCCCGCACTGGAAGTGTGGCCCAGAGGGGGAAGGGATTTGCCAGGGGTCACCCTCAGGGATGGGCGGCACAGGGCAAAGCCCCCAAGCAAAGGCCCCCGACAGCTTGGCCTTCCCTGTGACCTGGCTCTGGCGTGACCAACTGTCCTGAGTGTCCTTGGAAAACTGCAATGACCTTGTTTGCGGAGCAGGGGGGATTGGGCAGACCTGGCTCTCTCTGCTGTGTGACCTCGGGAATGTGGCTGTCCCTCTCTGGCAGGTCTCTTTTTTGTAGGGTGAGCACCCTGGTGGGCTGCATGGGGGTGGTGTGGGCTTAGTAGGGGCCCCAGCAGAGGTCAGGGAGGAGGTGCCAATGTGAAGAACACTGTCCCTTCCCTCTCCGGGCCACACTTCTAGTCGTAGGAGGGTGTTTATAACAGGACTCCAGTGTGGTGGCTCACAGCTGTCACCCCAGTGCCTTGGGAGGCTGAGGCAGGAGGATCGTTTGAGGCTAGGAGTTCTAGACCAGCCTGCGCAACATAGCGAAACCTCATCTCTACAAAAAAAAAAAAAGATGTAAAAAATGCTCAGCCTGTCATCCCAGCACTTTCAGAGGCTGAGGAGAGAGGATTGCCTGAGCTCTGGGATCCGAGACCAGCCCGGGCAACTTGGTGAGACCTCATCTCTACAATAAATAAAAAAAAAAAATTAGCTGGGCTTGGTGGTGCACGCCTGTAGCTCCGGCTACTTGGAAGTCTGAGGCGGAAGGATCGCCGGAGCCTGGCAGGTCGAGCCTGCGGTGGCTGTGAGCACGCATCTGCACTCCAGCCTGGGTGACAAGAGTAATATTCCAACTCAAAAAACAAAAAAGGAAATATGGGCTCAGTGTGGTGGCTCACGCCTGCCATCCCAGCACATTGGGAGGCCGAGGCAGGAGGATTGCCTGAGCCTGGGGGTCCGAGACCAGTGTGGGCCACAGTGAGACCCTGACTCTATTTTATAAAATATATATTTAAGGCCGGGCAGGGTAGCTCAAGCCTGAAATCCCAGCATTTTGGGAGGCCGAGGTGAGAGGGTTGCCTGAGTCCCGGGGTCCAAGACCAGCCTGGGCAACTTGGCGAGACCTCGTCTCTACAATAAGTCACAAAAACCAGCTGAGTGTGGTGGCGTGCGCCTGTAGTTCCGGCTACTTGGAAGGCTGAGGCGGAAGGATCGCCGGAGCCCAGCAGGTCGAGGCTGCGGTGGCCGGGAGCGGCCACTGCCCTCCAGCCTGGGCGACAGAGTGAGACTCCAACTCATAAAATAAAATAAAATAACATGAATAACAGGACCCCACTTTCAGGGGGTCAGCTCCAGGACCCCCGTCCTCAGCGTCTGGGGCTTCAGCCCCTCAGAGCCCGTGAGCCCCTCCTGTGCCCCGATGGTGCCTGGCACCCTGGGACACATTGCCAGAGCCAGCTCCTTCAGTCTTTGCATGCTCCCTCTGTGAGAAGCTCACTACCTGCATTTACCCGGTGAGAAACTGGAGGCACAGAAAGGCTGAGCCACTGGCTCCAGGGCACACAGTGACAAGGCACGCCATCTCCACCACGGGGCTCGCGTCTCTCAGCCTCCATGGCCACCTCCCCCAGGCCACGTTTCGCCCAGGCCGCGTGGCGTCCGACATCGCCACGGTCGTGGCCCCACCGTGGATGTCCCAAAGCAGCGGACCCTCCCCCTGCACGCGTGGGGACTTACAGGACGCGTCTTCCGCGGGACTGGCCAGCAGCTCCATCCCTGTGTCTTCCGGGAGCGGCCTATGGGCCGGCAGGGCGCAAGCGTCGTCAGCCACCAGGTCCCGCCATCGCAGCCAGGAGAGCGCGGAGTGGCCCGGATGGGCACAGGCAGGCGAGGTCAGACAAAAGAAGACCACAAGAGGCGTTTAGTTCTGGGGACGCAGCAGACATGTCGCCTCCTCAGCGCGGAAAGTGGCCCAAGACGCCGGGCAGGTGGTCACATTCGTGTGAGGACCTTCGGGCATTTGGGAGTGGGGAGACCACTCTTGTCGCCCAGGCTGGCGTGCAGGGGCGTGATTCTGGCTCACCGCAGCCTCGACCTCCCGGGCTCAAGCAATCCTCCCACCTCGGCCTCCCAATGTGCTGCGATGACAAGTGTGAGCCGTTGCACCCGGCCTGAGAATAAAGGTTTTGTCTCAAGGCACACGGCCTTGGGCAGTTGGAAATGTAACCTGGATTCTCTCTAGGGCGACCTTACGGAGTTCGGTCTCCAATGAGTTGTCAGTGCTCACAAAATTAACCAGGTGCGGTGGCTCACGCCTGTCATCCAAGCACTTTGGGAGGCCGAGGCAAGAGGATGGCTTGAGCCCAGGAGTTCGAGGCCAGCCTGGGCAGCAGAGCAAGACCCTGTCTCCACAAAAATAAAAAATACAGAAATTAGCCGGATGGGGTGGCACATGCCTGAAACCCCAGATACCCAGAGGC